GGAGGTTAAATTCACAAGGTGGCTTTCCAGGGCAGGGGTTGACAAGCCATGGAGTTCTTATGGGCCACCCCCAGAGCATCCAGCCCCCTGGGAACCATAAGCAGGACATCACCCCCACCCTGCACTTGGCTATCTATCCCCTATGGCAAATGGGCATGGGACCACTGCCCAAGGTCTCTAGCAGGGAAGTGAAACTGATGGAGATGGTAGAGTCCGGGCTGCTTTCCAGCCCCTTGCCCTACATGTGTTGAGGGGGTGGGGGTGAGGAATGATACAGTTTGGTATGCCTGGAAGACTGACTCAGGCCATAGGCATGAAATGCTCTGTGTCTGCACATAACATTAAGCCAATTTGTGGGGGACTGGTAAAAAATAATTCTGTTTTCCCAGTTCCAGGAAGTTCATACTCGTCTTAAGTGGTGTGCATACCTAGACTGTTGGGCTATAAAGTAGAATTAGAATGTATTAAGCATTACATCTGTCCACACTGAAAGGGAAGCTGTTTCATCCTTTTGGACATAGAGCAAGTGGAGGGGAATACAGTACTTCATTATCATGCCCTCTGGTGTGGTCCTCTAAATGGTGTAGATATGTCCTTAGCAGCTAAGCCTAAAATGATGGCATTATTCCTTTAAAAAAAAAGGTTAACAACTTTGACTTTGGTTCACTTTCTCTTTGATCTTCAGTTAGTTTCTGGGTGATAAGAAGGTAATTCCAATTAAAATGAGAATTTTAAAAACACAAACTGCCAAAAGATCACTTCGGAAATAAATGGTTGATACAGGAATATGTTTTCAGTTTGGCTTAGCATAACACCGACAGACACAATTATCTGTATGGCATTACTAGCAGTTGATAAGCCCTCAGCAGAAGGCTTAGGGGAAATACTTCCACTCCACTGCTTTCCGGCCAGTGTTATATCAGCAACAACTGTTTTAGACAGTTTTGTAGCGTGGTAATGTTTGCAGGTCTCTCCTTCAAAATCCTGCACATTTAAGTTACAAGTATGCAGAACAATTTTGACACAATGTATCAGCTGCTAGCAAGCTTAGCAGGACTCAGGCCACACATATTCCATTCGCTAATTCAAAATTTCCCACATGCAAGCCAGGGAACGAGGCTAGACATGATTTTTTTTTTTGAGGTCAGTGGTATGGACATGCACATTTGTTGCCAGCACTTTAAAAATACCAATGAGACAGCACATTTAGTTTCCATACAAGAACAGTAATATACAAAAAATTAAACACGAATGTCTCCCTGATTATCCTTTCTCCCTGATACAAAAACTTTACTTGACAATATGCTATTGTTTTTCCTTTTAAATTGGACACAAGATAACTCTTTTAAAAAATTAAATTGCATGCTTAATAATTTGATATTAAACTTATTAAAATAAACACGAGTATTCTGCCACATTACCCATTTGGCTGTTCATTCCAATACAGTAACCTTGCTTTAGAAAACTTAGGTTATATAACACATCCTTATTCCTGGAAAACGTAATATTTAAACAACTGTAATGTTAGCTTATAACCTCTTTCAGGTGGGAAAGTAGCTTTCTTCTGTTTGTTAAGCTCCATTTACATATAGCTATAAGTGTTTTTGAATAATATGTTCTAAACTCTCCTCTCAACTCGAATCCAAATAAAACTGGAGGAGTACCCTAGAATTTCAGGATAACTGGGTGTGTCTACACTAGGCGCTTTACTGTATAGTACAGCTAATTAATCCACAGTAAGCATCTCCATCTACAGGTGCTGACCCTTACTGCACAGTAATTTCCTCTACTCAGCAGTTAATTTACTACCTGAAAATGCAAGTAGCAAATCCATTACAGCTCAGTATAGCATGTGTAGATGGCTGACCAGGAGCAAATTTGCCCCCGGTCAGCTGGGCAGCAGGGGGCAGGAGATTTCTCCCTGCCCTCAGAAGCTGACTACTGCCAGGGAAGGGTCCACCACCAGAGCCCAGCTGGAGACAGTATCCCTCTGCCCAGCAGCAGGGAGATGCCAGTCCTTGCTCCCCAATCACATGATTGTGGAGTGGGGGCTGGGAGCTTGTTTCAGCCCCAGCTCCATGAGCGCAGAGCTGAACCTTGGACAGGCTGGGACAAGAGCAAGAGGCAGCTTTGAGATCTGAGCCCAGGTGTAGAACTGGGTTGTCAAGTCAAGGATCTAGAGCCAGAGACTAGAAACCACAAGGCAAGTCAAGAGCAAAAGGTGGAGTCAGGAAGCTGGGAGAGAAGCTGAGGTCAGATGATATAGTCTAGGAACCAGAGACCAAGGAACTAGGGCAGGGAGCAGGAGAGAAGGGTCAGCCCATCCCATGATGAGCCCAAGGAAAGAATTTAGATTCAAAGGGTATACAGAGATGTCACCATATGAAGTGGATCAGCTTTGCTTGGATATGGCCTAGCACAGCTGATCTGCTTCACTGGGCAAATCACACATCACCCATTGTGCTGTCTGTTGATCCTGAGGGACAATGGGCAATGTGTTCCCTGTTTGCAGGGGTGCACCCAAAGAGGCATGCCCAGGGTGCTGCCATGGCTTGAGGGGTCTGATTCTGGATTGGAATGTCCTGGGTGTGCAAGATCAGGCCCCTCACGCCCCAGAAGTGCCAGCCCAGGGTGGCTAGAGAGTATGGGCAGCTCCAGGCTGCCATGCTCTTCTGCCATAAAGCTAATAGATGTCTGTTGCAATAAAGCTGCAGAAAATATTACCTTTTGTTGGTGCCACCAGTTTGAACATTTGTGGAGTGACAAATGGCATAGATGTGTTTGCAAACCATAACAATTGTCATGGTGGCACAAAGGCAACACCTGTTTGCACCCAAAGTCATAAATCCTTACCTGATGACTAAAAGAAGTAGGTGACTGCAGCCCTGAAAAGGGTGAAACTCCTTCCCCACCCTGTGCCGATCTGGCTTTGTTGGACAGAACAGTGCCCAGTCCATGGTCTTCTTTACCACCCCCCTCTGACTTGCTTGAACAGGACAAAGAGAATAAGGGTGAAGTTGTATGTTACACTTAGCTCAAACAAGTGACACTTAAAACAAAAGTATCTACCCATTAAAGCTCTTTACTTGTGCTAAGCATCTTCTAAGTCTCAAAGTTATGCCATTTAAAGCAATGCAGGGCCATGCTACCTACATCATGTTAGGGTAACTTTAGTCTGCTTCACAGAAGACAAGCAATTTGCAGTCCTCCATCATCCCACAGTGCGCTTCTTTCTGTCCCCCTTTCCCCTTCATGCCCCACCCCGAGCATGGATAAAACCCAGCTGTCCTGGCTTCTAGCCACATCCCTGCATGCCAACCCCCTAGTGGCAAGTCAGAGCTTTGTATGACTGCTTAGTGCATGTTCTATTAACACTGCTTAATATTCCACGGATTTTGTATGGTCTAAGTGTAACTTGTAACTTCACACCATGTCAGTCATGTAACCAATTCCCACACCCACTTCACGTCTACATCCAAGATTCAGAGATCTTTACTGGAGCTAAAATGGTGGGAGGGGAGGAAAGAGTGGAGGGAAGACTATAGGGAAAAGCCTAATTCTGCTATTCCCTTTACTGTGGCCACACGGAGTCACAAACTGGTCTTGAGTCAATAAGGTGGGTTTTGTGTATGCTCAAAATGAAGAAAGTTTAGTCTATGGCCTCACAGTTTTCTTGATGATATAAGCTGAGATGATAGGATACTTATTGCTCTGCTTGCAAAAGAAGACCCTTATATAGTGCAGAACAAAACACTAACCAACCAAAAACTAAATACCCATACCCTTTCAACCCTAAGGCTGGGAAGGAAACATGAAATCCTTTCAAGTTTTGCTTTCTTTATTCTGAAAATATTTTAAGAAATGAAGCTTAAAAGGGTTATCAACACAAAGAACCTTGCTTGAAAATATTTTCCCTAAAGGTTATTTCAGCCTTAAAATGAATGTAGTTTAAAAGGTAAAATACAAAGCAAGATGCCTCCATTCATTCTTTCTTCTTTAGCATTGTTCATTTAGCTGAGCAATGAAAATGACACAGATATAGATTGCAATGGAAAAACAGGCAAGCTAAGTAGCAGGATGTTTTAAAGGTTCCCTTACCATAAAAATGACAAACTCCACCCTGCTAGTGGAACACTGGATTTCTCTGCATGAGCTAAGTCCAACAAACCTAGTCATTGTTTAGAGGGATTGGAATCTAAGAGACTGTAGATGTGAATCAAACATCTGCTACACTGAAAACATCAGGTTCTCATATCAGGTTGCAAACCAAAAGTGTAATAGATTTCTTTAGGTAGTGAAGACAAGCCAGCAGTAACACTAACTGAATTCCATGATTTGTAGTAAATCAATGAAGCAGAGATTGGTTTGAAGAAAAGGTGAACTAAACTTTCCTACATTTCAGTGGAACTTTTTATATCGTGTGTGTGTATTTATAAAATTAGAAACTTCTAAACTCTTTCCAATGCCTTGTGTTTTTTTTCTTTTTCAAGGACTATTAGGACAAGGGCAACCTTTTTAATATGTTAACTTCTCTGCTCTGTTCTTACTGTCTTCTCATTGCAAGTTCACATGCTGCACTGAGAGAAGTCAAACATTTTTAATATATATTTCATAGAAGATTGTAAACATACTGTTGCAGTAGATTTTTTGCAGTAGATTTTTCACAGTAGAGTATTGAGTTTCCCTAGTGTGGTGATTAAAGGTCCATGTTTATTAAGCTTTAAAATACTCCTGCAAGGTAAGCATAATTTATTTTACAGATGCTGTGGTGGGTTACATAAACCACCAACCAAAAAGCATTAATGGGGACCTGAGGGGCCAGTTAGCTCTCTTCATTAGTTCACTTCATCTAAAGGACACATCCTGCTTAATTCAATATCAGACCCTACTGAGAAGGAGCTGATTTGTCGCCCAAATGGAAGAAATGCATAGCATTAGGGAGAGAGGACCTGAGATGATGAGGGCTTCTTCTTCTGAAGGGAGCTGAAAGAGATCCAGCTGTTCAGGAGCTTCCTCTCCTTGAGAAAAGGTATGATGAGTAAGCATTGGGACTGCAGTGGTTGGCCTTTGAAGTAGGGAGACAGTTCTGTGCATCTTGAAGGAATAGGGAGATATTCTCAAAACAAGCCTGGGTCATGCTGAAGTGGCTACACTGTTTTATTTAGCTTTGAGTTCTGGTGGAAGATGCCAATAGAAATTTGGAACTGCTGCTTTGAAAGAAATGATGATTTAAAGAAGAGCTGGGGGAGTGGAAAATTTTGTACAAAGGAAGAATACTGTTATAGGCATAGGTTTCCTGCTAATAAGAAAGACAGAGGTGGTCTAAGATGATGAGTGACAGGAATATCAGTATGGTGAAGTCTGTTACATATGGGTAAACTGAAGGTCAGAAAGGTTAGACCAGGGGTTGGCAATTATTTCAGCTGGAAGGCCACTTAATGAGCTTTAGTGAGCTGTCGAGGGCTGCATCAGTAGCCCGTTCCTTGACAGGTGCCCTGCCCCCTGGTCACCATCTTGGGACCAGAAGTCCCACCCCCTAACCTGTGACTTCTGACACCAAAAGTGCTACCCGCCCACACCCCTTAAGTACCCCTTTGGGGTGGGAGTACCTGGTGCCTAGAGTGAGTGCTGCAGCAAGGACATGAGGAGAAGCCACTGGAGGCCGGGGAAAAGGAGCAGGTCCCCCAGTGGCTGCAGCAGTGGCAACAGCAGCTGCACCCAAAATCTGTGTGTGCTGACCAACCCACAAAAGGGTGGGAGCAAAGTGCATGGGCTGAATGGGGTACAGGTAATTGGTGGGTACCCGCGGGCTGAATGAAATCACCTGGTGGGCTGGATCCAACCAGCGGGCCGTATTTTGCCCGCCCCTGGGTTAAAACATTTGCCTAAGGACACATAGTGAGCCAGCAGCAAAATCAGCTTCAATGATCCTCAAAATATGCCCTATCAAAGACCTCCATAAATAATCCCACTGTTGTCTTAGGTGAAGGTATTTTGTATAACAAAATACTGTAGTAGGACCTTTTCACTTGTTAAAGCATGGAGTTATACTGTATCACAGTTCTGACACACTGACTTCATTCATTAGCAAGCATGCTCAAAGAACCAAATTCAGCCTATTTTACAGAAGGGCTGAATCTTTGTGAGAACTTTTTCTTCAGTACAAACCATATTTTTTCTATTTGATATTTCTTAAATATACAAAGCTTTCTATTATGAATACTGTAAGCAAGCCTTATGCTTTCCATAAAATGTCCCTGTTCATCCATGCTTTCCTATTACAGTACTCAGCCCACTCTCTTCCCTTCATATTCTCAGATGTATGCACAAGCACAGAAGGATCATGAAACAAAAAATTAAACCTGGTTCTCACTGTCAGAGAAGCAAGATAATGATTAGGGTATTTTCCATGCCTTCTCTGTTGAGATGGGCACTCTGCCATTACTATAAGTGCCAATGTAAGAACTTCAGCATGAATGTAGTTTCAAGATCCCATCTCACTTCTTAATCCCCAAATGAGAAAGTAACTCCTCCTTCATGGTGATAGACTGCATCTTTTGCATCTGCTTCTGGATGTGAAATTAGTTTGTTTTAAAGATCAGTAACTTGATATGCAATAGAAGTGGCAGCAATAGGAGGATAAATATAGCACAAACCCATTTAACACACACACATCCCAGGATACCAAAAGAAAAATCAAATGGTACAAAAATCTCAATTATTAGCAAAAGAACTTCAGCTTCACTTTCTCTTAAACTATGCTGGCTCCACAGGGTTGGCAGTAGACTGGCCTGGTAACCCTGTGCTCAGCTGGGTGGATGGGACAGGGCTGTGGGTAGGTGGGGAGTGGCATCCGGGAGCAGGACGGGCAGGCAGGGCCAGGATCATGGGGCAGTGACAGCATGGGGCCAGGGCCCAGAGCAGAACTGTGATCCACTCCCTACATGCCCCTGCCTGAAGAACTGGTGCCTGTCACAGAGTTCTGGGTCAGCCTCCATTGAGACCCCACCTGCCTGCTCAATCTGGTGTCCCCAGTGGTGGATGCGGAACGGACAGGCCAGGGTGCCTGAGCAGTGGGGCTGGGTCCAGCAGTAACGGCACTGGCAGCAGCAGCCATAAGGAGCTACTGTCAATCTTGAGCAAAGCTATGGATGTCATCCTCCCTCTCTGCTTGGCCTTGGTGAGACTGCAGCTGGAGTTCTGCATTGAGGTCCAGGTGCCGCATTTCAGGAAGCATGTGGAGAAGCTTCAGAGCGTCCAATGGAGGGCGATGCACATGATTAGAGCCCTAGAGACCAGCTTATATGAGGAAAGGCTAAAAGACTTGTGATTCCTCAGCCTGCAGAAGGGGACTTGGTGGCAGCCTATAAGTATATCAAGGGCATACATCAGGGCCTGAAGGAGCATCTGTTCACCAAACCCCCAAGAGGAGGACAAGAAATAATGGGCACAAGCTGACTGAGGATCACTTCAGGGTAGACATAAGGAAAAACTTCTTTACAAGTTGAGTACCAAGGGTTTGGAACAGGCTCCCCACAGAGGTGGTAGTCATCCACCCTGGCGATTTTCAAAAAGCATCTTGATGGCCATCTCGCTGGGGTCATCTGATCCCAGCAATCTTTACTGTCCAAGTGCAAGGGGGCTAGACCTGATGTAAGGTCCCTTCCAACCCCTAACAACTATGAAGCCATGAAATAATGGAGCTGCCAGGAAGTGGAGTCTGGCCACTGTGCCACCCCAGCCCCGCTGTGCATTCAGAGGCCATGGGACCAACCCACAAGCACCATGGCCTGGGCTGCCCCCAAGCCATGGGACCTGCCACAGCTTGGATAAAATTCCTTGGCAGGCTGGATATGGCCCACAGGCTGTACTTTGCCCATCTCTGCTTTAGAGAAAACTGGTTGGCTTCTAACAGCAACATGGATAAGAAAAGTCTTGGGTTTACTTGTGCTACGTTTTCCTGAAGGAAAAAAATGCACCAAGCTTTTCTATGCAAGAAACAAGTTTGACTTGGTAGTATTTTTTATTGGACCACTTATCTAGTGGGTTGTGATGTTATACAAGATTTGGGGCACAAGGGGTCCTTCCTCAGGTTTGGAAGGATACAGCAGATATAGCCCGAGTTAAATGTTGAAGTATGTTTCTATGGCAGGAACATATTTTAACTCAGACATCTAGACAACCTAGAGTCCAACGTGAGCTGATGCATTCCTAGAAGAATCAGTTCACCAAGATAGTTGACCCATCAAAATACATTCCTTTCCACTGTTGCCATGTGCCTGTCTATAGCAGTTCAATCTTGGCTAGATTCAAGTAGGGCCTAGATTCAAGAAGCCCTTTAAAACCACATTTCAGACAGACAGCAAAATAAGAGAAGGTGATAGAAGGGATAAGAAAATTTAAGTTGAATTCTCCTGATGATGGAAACTCAACCTGCAGCACGATTATTGGATCAAATGGGAACAAAGACATTGAAATGTATCAAAGCCAAAACAGAACCTCAGGACCTTGAGAGCTACTGTGTAGAGCCTCGGGTAAACAGAGGGGGATAGGGACTGGAGAGACAATGCTCAAGGTTATAAGATGAAACATCTGAGAAAATAAATGTTCAAATTAAGTCAAAACAGTGCCAAATAATATGGCCCAGATTCTTAATCATCACGTAGGATCTTATCTTTTGCAGGATTAAAGCACATATATAGCTAATACTACCAAGATGTTCAAAAAGACTTGGTCAAATCATTTTTTCACAGTACATCATAAAGACTCATATAAATTTTAAATGAAAACTCACGCTTTCAGTAAGAAAAATAAAATAAAAGTAATAAAGAGAGATAAATACATAAATCAATGAAAATAACAAGTCAAAGAAAAATGGCTTTCCTTGCACATATAAAATAAACAAGAATTTTTCCAGAAATCAGTAGTTGTTACAGTATTCTTTTGAATACAGTATGTGTGGGGGGTGTATCTATCATGAAAAATGTAATCAAAATGAGTTTTTTTCCCCTTACATAAGGGAAAAATAGGAATTCTCTAGACATGTGTAAAATTCCCATGTTATTTATATTTAACTGTCACAGATCAGCGTACTGCTGGACTTATACTGTCCACCAAAGGGAAGAACCAAATGTACCTCATGTCTTTATTTCATAAAATAATGTTAAGAATAGTCACATGATTATCTCACGGAGGTGCTGACATTTGTAGCAACATGCTACATCTTCCCTGTTGATATTTTCCATTTATACCAACCACAATCAAGCAAAACGTAATCAGAAAAATGATTGGTGACACTTAGAGTAGTAGCATAGAACTCAAGAGAATGTGTGCTTAACTGTTCTGTGCCTTAGTTTCTGCAACAGTAAAATAGGGATAAAAGGACGTCTAGGGAAACTGTGGGATATTTCATTAGATATTTAGGAACAGTGAATCGTTCGTTCGTGTGTGTGTGTGTGTATGTGTGTGTGTGTGTG